TTTTTGCTTTGTTTTGCTTTGTTGCTCAGGCTGGCCAGGAACTCTTAGTTTCAAGTCAACCTCCTGCCATGGTCTCCCTAATAGTGCCATACCGGCTAGTTGGGCTGATTTGCTAAAGATTGAGCAAGTGGTCCCTCCCAGTGCCCCTCAACATGCTGACACCAGGGGGCACCCTAGTGCCTTTGTTGAGTTGCACGCCTGTCTTAGTCTTGGATCTGGCACGGCTCAGTCTAGGTCTTTTTTATCTTTGGGCTCCAAACTTGACCAACCAACTTCATGTGCCACGCCTGTCCCCTCACTCTTCTATATTCCACAGGCCAGAGCCAAGATGCTGGCTCCTAAGAGTCAAAGTCACTTTGGGTCCCCCTTACCTCTGGCTTCCTAGCTCTTCCAGCTTTCATCAGAGCACCATCCCCTGACCTGAACATACAAGAAGGATCCTGAGGTCGGGCCTAGTGGTGCAGCTGTAATCTCAGCACCTGAAGAGCCTGAAGCAGGAGGATCACCATGAGTTTAAGGCCAGCCTGAACTACATAGCAAGACCATGTCAACAAAACAAAACAAAACCCAAAAATAAAAACCAAAAAGGGTCATGAAGTAGTTAGAGCTTATCACCTTATCAGCTCCTCTAGCTAGCTGGGGACTGGGGACAGTGGCTACTTTGGAGCCTGAGGTAAGAGGATGGCAAGTTTGAAACGAGCCTGGGCAATGTACCAAGACCCCCAAATTTTAAAAAGGGTGGGAGATTTAGCTCAATGGTAGAGCACCCCTGGGTTTGATCCCCAGTACAAAGAGGGGAAAAACAAACAAAACCCTCTTCTACACAAAACCATATGGAGACACAGTTAATTCTCATTTATTTTTCACCCTCTGTAAGGCCTCTCCCTCAATTCTACTCTTTCTGTCCTGCAGAAATCTTTCTCCAGGAGGCCTGTGGGTCAGTGTCTCTGGATAGTGCTTGAGTAGATGGGGGCAGAGATGCTCCAGTGGAGAGAGGTCCCCAAGGAATGGCATCACCTTCCTGCCAACTTCCTCATTGCCTCTCCTTCAAAACGGAAGGCACGCCAGCCCTCTGCTTGGGTCAGATCTTGGGCTCCTAGGGTCTTGTACAGGTCCATGGCCCTCTTGTTCCACTCCAGAACTGCCAGGCGGAACTGGGAGCAACCGTGATCCAGGGCCACCTGTGGGAGAAGACGTCACTCACTGTCCTCGGGTCAAAAACAAAGACTTCCCACTCCCCCTTCAACTGGGGTCCTCATATATCCTGGCCTTCTTGATTGCAGCTCCCCTTTCTCAGCTCACCTCAGCCACCTTTTTGATTATTTTGGAACCAATCCCTTGACCTATTGTGGGGAAAAGAGGGCAAAAAGAACTGTTGTTTGAATTGAAGTCAGTCAGAAAAGGCTATGGGCTATGATCAGGGGGAACGGCAGGATGGGGGACTGTGGGGTTGCTCTGTGTCCACCCTGGTCTCAGCTCCTGCCCAGTAGTACCCCGATATTCTGGCATCACATAGATGTCCTCCAGATAAATGTTTCGACCCTTCCATGTGCTGTAGATGAAGTAGTATAGCCCGTAGCCTACAATGCAGGGCCCTGGGAAAGACCGAGAAGAGGGGTAAGGTTCTCTGGAACAGTGCGTGGAGGTCCCCAAAGCCCACTGAAGAGGTGCGCTTACCCTGTAGCTCGCCAGGTGCTGGAAGAATCTCTGCTACTAAACAGTGATAGAAAGGATTCTCTCCAAAGCCATCTGCTCTCAGGGCTAAGAGATTGGAGGTGTGACAAAGAGACACAGAAGACCTGGGTGTGTGCCCAGCCAGGAGCTGCTGCCCAGGGAACACATGCCTCATTTCCTCCCCAGCCCCCAGAAGGACCTGGGCACCCACCTTCTTCACTGATCTTCACCTGATCCGAGAGTTTCTCGTACTCAGCCAGTTCCTGCGGCGGCGTGGGGATGAGGTACGATCAGGGCAGAGGACCCGCTGTTCCCTGGCAGTGCCCAAGGCCCGGCCCTGCCCTGCCCTGCCCCACCTCCTACTCCCCGCCTCAACCGCGCGCCCTGACCGCCTCTCCCGCACGCTGGTTTCCGGCCCGAAGCCTTCACCCGAATGAGCCTCAGGATGTCTCCGCAGTCTCCCTGTTTGGCCGCTCGGATCTGCACGAAAGCCATCCCGGTCCCCACCGTGTGGACCACAGACAACGACCGCCCACTTCCGTTCCGCAGGGCCAGCAAAGGGCCTAGGAACTCGGATCCTGAAAAGCCGGAAGGGACAGACAGCGGAGGGGTCACTGGTTCCCCGCAGGGCTCTTGCGGGAGCCAGGCAGAACTGAGAGAATTATCCCGGTGGTCCTCACCGCCGAGACAGCCCCTAAGTTCTGTCCCTGCAGGCGCACACTCATCAGCCAATCAGCTTGGGGAAAAGGCAAAGCCTCGCCCGCCCAGCTCTGCCTCCAACACCCAACTCGTGACAGGGCCCAGGGCAGAGGTCAAAGCCTTGTGCCAGGCTCCATTAGCGACAGCAGGGCTCAAAAGTCATTCCTGTGATTAAGTGGAGTATGCAGAGGTTCACTGCTTTAGCTTTCACTCTCCCCATCCATACAGGGCCACCCAGAACCTTGGTGAGCCTCTGGGACCCCGTGCTCTTGCAAGTGTTTCTTACAGTTTCGTTTTATTTTGAGGTGCTGAGGATGGAACCCAGGACCTCTAGGTACATGCTGTGCCACTGAGCTACATCCCCAGTCCTTTTTTCTACCACAGTTGAACTCAAAGTGTTTCTTCTCTCAGGGACCACTTGTATTTTATTTTATTTTATTTATTTATCTATCTATCTATCTATTTTTGGCACTGGGAATTGAACTCATCAGACAGGCACTTGTGCCGCTGAGCTGTATCCCCAGCCCACTGGTATTTGTTTTGTTTTGTTTTATTTTGTTTTTTGCCTTTTTGAGACAGGATCTTGCTATGCAGTTCAGGCTGGCCTTGAGCTCACTTTGTAGCCCAGGCTGGTCTCAAACTCACAATGATCCTCCTGCCTCAGCCTCCCGAGTGCTGGGATTACAGGCATGCACCACCACGTCCGGCTCTCACTTGTATTTTAAAATGGGTCAGGGAGGCCCTGTGCAATGGTGCATGCCTGTAACCCCAGCACTAGGGAGGCTGAAGCAGGAGGATCACTGTGAGTTTGAGGCCAACCTGAACTACATAGTGAGTTCAAGGCCAGGTTGAACTACATAGCAAGACCCCATCTCAAAAAACAAAAACAGGGGCTGGGGATTTAGCTGAGCGGCACAGCGCCTGCCTGGCAAGCGCAAGGTAGTGCGTTTGATTCCTAGTACCGGAAGAAAAACATTAAAAACAAAACAAAACAAAACCAAACAAACAAAAAATAAATAAAAGGTGTCAGGGAGAGAAAGAATGATAAATTTCTACTGGTAGATCGCTAGGCCCTGTAATCAACTGATAAGAGAAATCTTTGGGAGTGGGGGCAGGCACCTTCTTAGTATCCATCAAGTCACATGCAGAGACAATGCTTTCTTGTGAGACAAACCTCAGAGGCCTGGGAAAACTGGAGGAGTCTGGACCAGATACTGGGCACTGTGCCTGTGTTATCACAGTGAACCCCTATTCACAGAAGCCTCATAAAGCAAGGATTATATTCTTCATTTGACAGACAAGGACACGGAAGGACAAAGGTGAGGCGACTTGCCCAAGGTCCCTTAGCCAGATATTTGAGATTCCGAGACTCATCTCTAGCCCTGCTGGAGGATGCTACTTGAGCAGGACGAGATCTCACATCTCTGAAGAGCCTCCTCTCGCCAGGTGGGCAGAATGCTCGGAAGAGCCAGGTTAGGCTCTAGGGCAGGAGTGGGGAGATGCGATTCTGCTGGCTCCGCACTCACACACTTCTCTGCTGTGGGGGATGGTAATGGAGGGACTCTGCCCCTTTTCCCATTTGCCTTCAGAGGGGCCACAGGGTCAGTGTCCCTGTCTCTGGCCCCATCCTTCCCAAGGGCAACCTTTAACCCTCCACTAGCCATGCATGAGGCTGCCTTCCCCCACTTGTTCTCAGAGTTTGAGCCACAGATTGGACTGCAGCTGACTATGGAGAGCAGAGGTCCACCAGCCGCCTCATACTGGCTGCTGCTGCTGCTGCTGCTGCTGCTGCTGCCGCTGCTGCCACTGCCGCCTTACATCCACCAGGGATGGGCCTTGGGGCAGAGTCTCTCCACCCAGGTACTGAGGGCTGAGGGTACTCAGCCCATGTGTGAGTTTAAATGAGCTGCCCTTGGCTCTGTCCTCTTCTCTCTTTTCTCCTTTGGCCCTATAGAAGCATCTCTCTCTCTCTCTCTCTCTCTCTCTCTCTCTCTCTGATATGTCCTTTGTGCACTTTATTTTTTCTTTCTCACAGAGGTCTCAAGACCCTCCTGCTAAGTACCTCAGCAGTGGCCCAGGACAAGAACCTGTTGCTGTCATGACCTTTGACTTCACCGAGACCACCAAGTATGGGGTTCACTTAGTCTCTTGACCCAGCCCTGAACCCCTGCCCCTACCAGCTCTTCCCCTTTTCCTGTCTCCCTGTCTGCTCTCCCTGAACTCCACCTCCCCCAATCCTCAAAGGATCCAGTACACACACAGTCTTCCCTTCCGCTGTGCCCTTCTAGAACCTCCTCCTCCTTTGAGTTTCGTACCTGGGATCCAGAGGGAGTGATATTTTATGGGGACACCAATGCTGAGGAGGACTGGTTCATGCTGGGACTTCGGGATGGCAGGCTTGAGATTCAACTACACAATCACTGGGCCCAACTTACCGTGGGTGCTGGACCTCGGGTGGATGACGGGAGATGGCACCAGGTAAGCTAGCTCTATTCCTGGGGGAAGAGGTGTCTTGTTTTGAGCTGGTTTGAGGAAAGAGAATAGAAACAAGTAGTTTTGCATCACTTTGCCTTTGTTAGCCGGGTGTGGTGGCACACGCCTGTAATCCCAGCACTCAGGAGGCTGAGGCAGGAGGACTGTTGCAAGTTCAAGACCAGCCTGGGGTACAAAGTGGGCTCGAGGCCAGCCTTAACTGCATAGCGAGACCCTGTCTCAAAAAACAAACAAATAAACTTTGCCATTGTCTTGTTCAATCCGCACAGTAAATAAGTGACAAGGTCTGAATAAGCCAAGGGTGCTAGCTGCGTCTTTCAGCGAAGCAGGCTACCGCAGAGGAGAGTGGTGGCTATGGGCTCTACGGTCTCTGCTTTCCACCTCCTTCTGCAGGTGGAGGTGAAGATCGCTGGGGACTCGGTGCTGCTGTGGGTGGATGGGGACGAGATGCTGCGCCTGAGACAGGTGTATGGGTCCCTGGTCGACAAACCACAGCCCCTCATGAGGATTGCGCTTGGGGGGCTGCCCTTCCCTGCCTCCAAACTTTTGTTGCCGGTAACTACATCAGCAGGGTGGGAATGGAGGCCTTGGGAGAGGACTATAAGCTTTTGGAAGAGGGGATGGAATACCAGCTGCATGGGGGAAGCCAGGTGCTTGTATCTCAGAGGGGAATGAACAGAGGGTGGTGGGGGCAGGGCTGAGACTGGGCTTCCAATGTCCTGACTGATATCCCAACATCCTCCTTCTCCTTCACTCCCTCCAGCTGGCCCCTGCCCTGGATGGCTGCCTGCGCCGGGATAGTTGGCTGGGCCAGGAGGCTCAGCCCGCACTCTCTGCCTCCACTAGCCTCAGAAACTGTAGTGTGGAGTTGCAGCCTGGGCTGTTTTTCCCTCCAGGGGCACGTGCTGAATTCAGTCTCCAAGGTAGACTTGTTGGAGTCTAGTTCTCCTCTAGCCAGCTCTGCCTTCCTCCGTCTCTGTCTAACATAGGCCTTTCTCTCCACGGAACATCAAAAGGATCATTTCTTCCCCCCAGACCTTCCTCGGCCTCACACAGAGCCCTGGGCCTTCTCTCTGGACCTGGGACTCAAGCTGGCAGCTGGATCTGGCCACCTGCTTGCCCTTGGTGCACGAGAGAACTCTTCCTGGCTTAGCCTTCACCTCCAAGATCAAGTAAAGGGGGAGAGTGGGCATTGCCTGTACTCAGGGAAGTCTGGGAGCAATGAGGCAGTGCAGAGGGCACCAAGATTTCAGTAGCTGGAAGGCTCGACTAACCTTGATGGCACACACCTCTGATCTCAGCACTCTGGGTGTCTGAGGCAGGAAGATTTCAAGTTCAAGCCAACCCAGGCAACTTAGTGATTTAGTGAGACCCTGTCCCGCTCCCCAAAATGAAAAAATAAAAAAGATATAGCTCATTGTGAAGGACCTGGGTCAATCCCCAATACTAGAAAGAGA